TATCTTTTGGGTCGACACTTCGTTGTTCGGACTGATGAGAGGAGTTTAAAGTATCTCTTGGAGCAAAGGATGGTGACTGAGGAGCATCAGTGGTGGCTATCCAAACTTTTGGGCTATGATTTCGAGATCCAGTATAGGTCTGGTTTGGAAAATAAAGCAGCTGACACCCTATCCAGATGTGTGGGGGAGCTCCAGAAGTTAGCTCTGTCCTGTACCCTTGATGGTTGACTGGGGGGCCATCAAGGAAGAAAGCATGTTAGATGAAGAATTGGGAAAGATCAGGGAGGATTTGAGGAAAGACAAGAGTAGCCATCCTGGTTACTGCATTGAGGGCGAGACTGTTGTATCAAGGGAGGTTTGTGATGCCACGAATCTCCATACATATCGCCCACTTGTTGCAGGAGTTCCACGGCAACGCAGTTGGAGGCCATTCAGGAGTTCAGAAGACATACAGGAGGCTAGCAGTGGAGCTCTATTGGAAGGGGATGCATAAAGATGTGGAGGAGCTGGTGGAGAGGTGTGAAGTGTGCTAGGGAAACAAATAAATGCCCATGGCTCCAGGAGGATTAGTACAACCATTAACACTTCCAAACAAAGTTTGGGAGGAAGTGTCCATGGACTTCAACGACGAATTACCATGATCAAAAGGACACTGTCATCATGGTGGTGGTGGACAGACTTAGTAAGTATGCACACTTCATCCTCTTACGATATCCCTACACCGCAGTGTCAGTGACAGCAGCATTTATTAGGGAGGTTAGACTGCACGGGATTCATGAATCGATACTGACGGATCGAGACGAGGTGTTCCTTAGTCAGTTTTGGAGGGAGCTATTCTGATTGCAGGGCACCATCCTTAAGAGAAGCATCGCCTACCATCCACAGACAGACGGGCAAACGGAGCTGGTGAACCGAAGTTTGGAGACCTATTTGAGGTGTTTTGTGTCGGAGAACCCGCAGATGTGGGCAAAGTGGCTGCCTTGGGCTGAGTATTGGTACAATACCTCGTATCATTCTGCCTCCAAGATGACCCCATTCAAAGTGTTGTATGGAAGGGACCCTCCACACCTAGTGCACTTTTGGAGAGGGTACACCCGTTTCGTTAGTTAAGCAGTACTTGGAGGAAAGGGACAAGGAGTTTGAAGAACTAAAGAAACATCTGATGATGGCACAACATATCATGAAGAAGCATGTGGACTCACACAGGAGAGACATGCAGTTTGAAGTGGGAGAGAAGGTTTTCCTGAAACTACGACCATACAGGCAGAGGACAGTGGCTAGAAGGAGAAATGAGAAATTGGCACCAAGGTACTTTGGCCCCTATGAGGTTTTGGAAAGGATTGGAGCGGTGGCATACCGATTGAAGCTACCCCCATCAGCCACTATACATCCAATGTTCCATGTGTCTCATCTGAAAAAGGCCATAGGGGAGCATGCAACAAGTGAAGAACTACCATATACTATGACGGAGGACTTAGAGGTGGTTTTAGAACCACTAGAGCTAGCAGGAGTCCGATCAGATAAAAAGGGCAACAAAGAAGTGCTGATTAAATGGAGAGGCCTCCCTGATTTCGACGCTACGTGGGAACCAATTGATAGAATGAATGATCAATTCCCTTCTTTCCACCTTGAGGATAAGGTGAGCCATTGGGAGGGGAGTATTGATATGCCGCCGGCCCAGAAGGGGCCGGCTGGACCGGTCCATCTCTACAAGCAGCGGGCCCCACAAGGGCGGCGGAAAACAGAGAAAGAAGTGGGGCAGAAGCCCTAGGTGGGTCATGCTTGGTCTAATTCAACTTATGAGGAAAATTTGAATGAGGGGGGCTGTTTTAGGAAGTTTGTAATTGTCCTTTGATGTTAATTAGGGGCTTAGGAGGTAATTGGGATCTCATCTTGAATTTGAATAAAAGTTTGAGATCTCATCGTGTGCTTGGGCTCTAGGGTTTGCTAGAGACTTGTGGAGAGTTGTTCTTCCTCTCGAATCAAAGAACATTTTTTCTTTGTTTTCTTGCGTCTTCTAGCAAAATCATTGTTTTCTTTCCCTATTTTCCACTGTTTGGGTGCAATACCTGCTGCAAGGTTGCTGTTTTTCTGCTGGGACAGCAGTTTTCTCACTGGTTTTGGGCTAATTTCGACTAGGTTTGCTTGCGAACTCAAGTATTACCTTAGGGTTACTTGCGAACTCAAGTATCTCCTATCACCAGGGTACATCCTCTTGCAAATGTTTAGTAAGAACATCCAAGACTAAAGCAAAAAATATATGGGCTTAAAGCTAATCCTTGATGTAATGCAACTAAAATAAGAAAATACTTAGTCAAACCATCTTGTATTTTAACACAAATAATAGCAAATGCATGCATATCCTTCATAATTTGAATATAAGCAATATTAACTCCCGTCTTTTCTAGAACATTATCTTATGCTTACCCTAAATTAATAAATATCATATGAAGATCCTCCTTATTCTCTCTACACTTCTACATCCATAGCTTCCATAATATACCTAATCAGCATTAATCCAAATTGATTTTCAAAAACATTAGTATCACATAGCCTATGCTCAATAACTCTCTCCCAAAGTACACATCAACTAAATTCCTCGATAATTCACACACTCTTGTGCATTACCTTTATTCTTTAAAATATGAACCAACACACTCCACTCATCTGGCATCTTTTTCATCTTCAAAATAATATAAAAAAGTTTCGTAAGCCAATAAATTTCATCATCACCTAAATATTTCCACACATCTATTGGAATATCATCATGTACAACCGCTTTTCCACATTTCACTTTGTTTAAAGCCTCCCTAACTTCAATTTTACCAATACGACAATAAAAATAAATTCATATTTTTATTTACGGTACAAAGATCACGAAAGTCAATCATAATCTCACAATCTTCATTGAAAAACCTATCGAAATATCTCATCCACGTATGTTGAATATGCTCTTCTAAGAAAACCACTTTTTGATCTTCATCCTTAATGCACTTCACTTGAACTAAATCCTTATTTCTTCTATCTTTTTGTTTGTATAACTTATACATATAGCTTTCACCCTCCTTGGTATCTAATCTATTATATAAATTATTAAAAACTAAATTCTTTGCATTGCATATTCATTTCTTAGACTCCTTACGGGACCCTTTACATCTTTCACAATTTTCCAAGCTTTCACAATTTGACTAATGACTATATCTATTGAATCAGATTTAAAAAAAGTGCGAAGGAAAAAAAAAACATGCAAGTTGATAGAATAATGTATCAAAGATTGATAGAAAAACTCATCCTCCTATACCCACTCGGATATTACTTATGCAGTGAGCATGATCTTTAAATTCATTTATGAACCAAATGAAACGCAGTTGCCAGATGTTTATAGTGTGATACATTATTTGAAAGGTAACCCAGGAAGAGGAGTTTTGTTTAAGAGAAATAGAAGACTAAACAAACATATCATGCAAGCTCAAAGTTGAGAGGAGATCAATATCAGACTATTGCATATTTCTTGGAGGAAATGGAGCAACATGAATGAGTAAAAAAATAAAATATGTTGAGTAGATCTAGTGCTAAATAAGATTTCTTGACTATGAAACAAGAAATTTGTGAACAAATATTATTAAAGATTAGCCTAAACGAGTTAAGAATTAACTGGAAGAACCTATGAAACAATATTGTGAAAATAAGTCCATAGTAAACATCCCTTAAAATCCAATCCGACATAACAAAACAAAATATTGACAAAATTTCATCAAAGAGAAGCTCCATGAATGACTACTCTATATATCTACGTACCCTCAAAATGGCATCTAGCAGATGTCTTTACCAGAAAACAGAATAATGCAGTCTTACAAGAGAAAATTTCTAAGCTACGATGGAAGATATTCATTCTCTAATGGACTCAAGCATCACGGCATTACTGGAACGCAAGCAGATCATGGTAAAAAAGAAAAAGAAAAGATCCCAGCATTGAAATTACATGCTCCTCATAGAATCCAGTTGTACCTACTTGTACCGTCAGACCCAATTTGGATAGTCCAGGGAATGGATGAATTCTGAAATCTTCATGCATATATTAGGAAGATAATGTGGTGAAATAATGCTGTATAATTGTTTGTATTTTAATATAGACCAATCTCTTTTTCTTCTCGAATAAAAGTCTATAAATAGTGGCATGTACACATTACTTTGAATAAATGAAACAAGAATTACATTTCCTGCCCTTTCTTTCTTTTTCAACATTTTCCTACAAAAAATGTGAAAGGAGGACATTTCTGAGTGATGCAAGGAAAGCAACGGCAAAGGATGCAGTAATGAAACAAAATGAAAACAAATAAATACTTAAAAAGAGAAGACATAACTTTAATCACTTAGAAAAGACAAATGAACCATGATAAAAAAAAATGAACAAGGATAAAATTCAATATAAGAATCAGAGCAACAACAGCATCAATAGAAGAAAATATACAACTGACTAAGAATGTAAACAAATAGCTAAGAGTGTATATAAATAGCTATGAATGAATACAAAGAAGGTACTTCCATTATTTTGAATTCAAAGAGGAAAAACCTTAAGTGATCTGACATTTAAAACTGAGAGCAAACACGATCAAACGATTTATGACTGAGTTAGAAAGCACGGGGTAATTCAAAAGCGCACAGAAATGGAACAATTGTCTTTTTCCATAGATGTATGAGCAAGCATGTAAGAGCTGGGTGACTAGATTTTTCTTTCAACAAGATGAGGTATGATAAAATAAAGAAGCTTTAGCTAATTAGAACAATACATGAAAAAGTAAATAAATTTTGCTATCACCAAAAATCACATGTATGTCATTAATTAAACATAGATCTTTAACATCTTCAACAACAATAAATGCCAATAGCTAATAAACTTAAAATTCATTAATAAATAAGCCAAAATACATACAAATAAAAGCACGCTTCACTAGATATAGATCCTTTTGTGAACATGAAAAATATTAACCTGTACGAACCTGAAAATAATATAGCTAAAGATAGAACAGAACAGGAGGGACTTGAAAGGATCTTCCCATTTTGCAAAACACGTTAGCTTGTTTCCAATTTCCATAACAGGATATAGCAATTCCTGAAGCACAGTGGAATACAACAATTAGAAAAATCAAAATACAGCATATATATATATATATATATATATATATATAGGAGGGGCTATTTTTTCCATCTCATGACATTAATACCATCGCTTAGAAAATCCAAACTCCAGCAATATATATTAAATACTTTCCCATTCTACCCCCGCACACCATCAAAATCTACAACAACATTAACATACCTCTTCTAGCATCTATACATATATATAAAGAGAGAGAAAATGCAACACTAAAATGAAAAAAGAAAATGAGGGAATAATTACATTTAAATTAAAATAAAACTAACTAAAATAAACAATACTATTCTAATTTTCTAAAAAATCTCTATATTTCAAATAGTCAAGGAAATTTTGACTTACTAGTATACTTCATAACTTAACTTCTTTTGAAGTTAGGCCTCATTAAATTTTGTCTTTATCTAACATATATAATTTTTTTCTAGCATGAAAATCATTTCTTTAATCATTTAAATAACTAATATAGTTGAATTTAATTCAAGCTATTGGCTAACCATGCTGTAATGGAATAACAAGAATGAAAAGGAATTAAATCATTCACATGTCAAAATAAAATTGTGTAACAAAAGGCAAGCCTGAATATTTTTTGAGAAAAACCACCATAAGGCATGTGCATCATGTTGACCTCTATGAAACATAAGTCTCAACAAGGCTGAAGCGTGGCTCTGCACATTAAGAGGCTCAAGCCTCAAATATTAGAATTTTGGTGATTAAAAAAAACATTTATAAATAAAATATAAACCCAAAATCTCATTTTATTATTTCACTACATCTAATCCTAAATAGAAACCAAGAAGCTCTTAGCTATCTCCCCAGCCCTTCCAACCAATACGAAGGTGTTGCTTTGCCCAGCCATCCTCCAACTCTTCTCTTCTAGACGATAAATCATCTAAATTTGTTTTCCTTAAACTCAAACTTCTTTGTTTTCTTTGTTTAGGATTATCTCTTTTTTTTATATATTTTCTTCTTGTAATCTCTTTTTTTAATTAAAATTTTTAATTTTAAGGTTTCCTAAAATAATTAGAGGTTCTAAGATAAGCTCAATACAATAACAATAACAACATCAAGCCTTTGTCCCACTATATAGGGTCCGCTACATTAATCTTTTTTCTCCATTGTGTCCTGTTAAAAGTCAAACTGTCGTTTAAATCTAATAAAGAAATATCATTTCTAATATTTTCTAACAAAGTATTTTAGGTCTACCTCTAACTTTCTTAACATGTCAAATCCAATACCTCTACTTTGCTAACTGGGTCATTAGAAGGCCGCCGTTTTATGTGACCAAACCATCTAAGGTGACTCTCTCTAATCTTATCTTCCATTGGAGCTACTCCAACCTTTTCACGTATATGCTCATTTCGTATCCTATCTCTAAGGATAAAGCCACTCATCCACCTGAGCATCCTCATCTCTGCAACAATTAACTTAGTATTATGCTTCTCTTTTAATGGCCAACATTCAACACCATAAAGCATTATAGGTCTCACCACCATCTTATAGAATTTTCTCCTAAGTTTGAGGGTGACTTTTCTAGCACACAACAAGCTCGATGCATTCCTCCACTTCAACCATCCAACTTGAATTTTGCTGATAATATCCCCATCTATTTCACCATCACTCTGAACAATAGATCCAAGATATCTAAAACGTGTACTCTTATTAATGACTTGATCGCCCAAAGTCACAATCCCCTCACTAGGTCTATTACTACTAAGATTAAACTCCATATATTCAGTTTTAGATCTACTCAAGAGAAAACCTTTAGACTCTAACATTGACCTCCATAAGATAAGCTCAATGAGAAATAAAAAAAATCCAACATGGAAGCATAGTTGCATGTATATAAGAGAAAGTGAAAATGCATACATCTTATTTGCGTGAAATTACTATGCTAAAGTAGTTAAAACTTGTGTCAACAAAATGAGAAAAAAAAAATATCTCTTTTGTTATCATAATAATATTATACAATGTTCCAAAGTGCATAACGAGCATATCCATGTATATGTAAACAAATCAAGCATGTCTAAGCATTTCACACAACAAAATTTGGTTACAAAGTTAATAGGAGATCTTATTATAATTGTGAGTCTAGTGACAAAGATTCTTTTTTTTTCTTTGCAAAAAATGTTCAATAGAGCTACAAGGAACCTATAGAAAAATGTATGATGAAAGTAGAGGATTTCAAGAGTGATAGTGTAAGGTAGCCCATCAAATGCCTCCATAAAACATAAAAGAGACTCGCAAGCCTGTTTCTATGCCTTTTAAAAAGAGATTGGAAAGCATTTAATGGTCCAAGTTGTTATCAACAATACAAGAACTTAAAAAATAACAGGAGATAAGTTGATGGAGAAGAGAAAACATATTTATTGGGCTCCATATATCGTACATTGCATTAGACTAAATCAGTGAAAAACTTGGAGAATTGCCTCAAAATAAGAATGCCTCAACTAAAACCAAAAATATGAGCAAGTTCGTTTACAATCATAGTTGAGTTTTGGCATTGATGAGGAAGTTTTCTAAGAAAGAGCTCTTATGGCCTACAACTATAAGATTTTTTATGGCATACTTGACTCTACAAAGCATACTAAAAACCAAAAAACAAAAATTGAATGCTTATGTTCACCTCCACATAGTACTTAAACTGACTTTAGGCTAAGAACTCGAAGATAAAGAAGCCCGGAAGATTGTTTTAAGTGATAAATTTTGGTTAACATATGCTAATAAAACAAATAAGCCCTTGCTTCACATTTTATGAATGGTATGCAAAGAAAAAGCATGTTATGGATTTCATTTATGATAAAATGTTTAAGGCAAGTGAGTTCGTACCACAGAACATAGGAGATGTCAAACTATAAGAAAATTTGGGAATTCATAAATGAGAAATGGGAGCTTCAGTTACATGGGCATTCACACACATGTAATTATCTGAATATTCAATAAAAATATGCTAATAACAAAAAAAACTAATTCAGAGATCAAATTTGGTTTGTACCATTGTATGCATAGATTGATTGCTAACTCAGTTGAGAGGGCAAGAGTTGGTCCTTAACTTGCAGCATTTAGCAATAACGAATGATTATTTGGATTAAAGCAAGGCAAAAATATAGTAGCAAAATGTTCCCCGGATAATTTTTAACATTTACCAGTTAAATTCCTTAAAATTTATATACTATGTTAATTATGTTTTTTGTAGCTAGTTGAGGAATGGATTTTGTTTGTAGAGGGTACTCCACAATTATAAAGAAAAGCAATAAAGTACTAGTTCTTACATGCTCATCATCAAAGTGTGAGTGTAAATGGAGAACGTATAACCAAGTTTATGGCAAGAGGAGAAATTGTTTGACTACCCTAAGAATAAACTCATTAGTTCACATTATATACATAAGTAATTATATAAAAAAATATTTTAAGAAACTCTGGAGGATGATAAAGATCTATTAGTTTGCAATGTTATGCCATCAGATGATGAATGATTTGTAGAGGATGACAATGAAATTATGTCATCACAATTACAAGAGGAAGATCTCAATATTGACCTTTTGATAAAGGAATGAGCTAGGTCAAAACAAATCTAGGGGTGTCAAAATGAATTTTTGGGTTCGATTCGGGTCCAACCTGAAACTGACTCATCGTCAATTGATCCGACCCAAACCCAACCTAATTAGACAAACGGGTCACGATTTTGACCCAGACCCACTAACTCGATTAGAAGACAAGGTGAGTAGGTGACCAAGGACAGGGGCTCGAGCGTGCTCAGCGCAGGCGTATGGGCAGGGACAACAAGTGCGCGAGCAAGTTCATGCAAGCGATCGAGACAGCAAACGCAACGAGGAAGGCGAGCGCGACAAAAGTCGAGCGTGAGTTTCTTTAGGGTTGATTTTAGGTTGAAACAAACCCAACCCGAATTTCCAAACGGGTTAAAATTTGCAACCCAAACTCGGCCCGTTTTCCAAATGGTTTGACCCGAACCCGAAATTTTCGAGTCAAGTTTGGATCAGGTTTGCGAGTCATGTCAAATATTGACACCCTAAACAAGTCAACAGAAAATGCAATAAAAGGTTACGATGAAAATTTATATAATTGAAATTGTAAATATCAACATAGTCATTATTTTAAATATTAATTAATGTTTTTATTAACTTTTATTGATTAGGAAAGAGGAAGGTGGTCGAGAATCAAAGATGAGGAAAAATGAGGGGAAGTTGAAACAATTGAGGATGCAAGAAAAGGGAAACCAATTGACTATAATAATGATTATAATAAATACAGACTAAGTGATAAGAGTGGGGGACACTTCTAATTTCATAAGTTATAATCTTATTTGCTTAGACTACTTATTCATGCTGATTTGGGAGTGAGAGAGATATATGCTTATGATCTTACTTTAACTTACAATTATCTTGCTTTGACATCTTGCTTCAATCTTACTATGGTATTTTATATTTTTTTTACTAATTTAATATTTTGATTCTAAGGCTTACACCTCAAAATACCTCGAAGCTTATGTCTCATCTCATAGACAAAAAATACCTCAGTACCCAATTATGCAATTTCAAGCATTGGTTACTTACTACATGTCAATTAGATAGTCATATGAAAAAATATTTTGAAGATGCCATCCACGGGAAACTTTTAATGACCTCAAGGTCACCAAACACTCGTCCCTGAGACGAAGAGTGTGCAGGAAGCAAAGGTGTAGTAGTAAATTAAGAGAAATGATTAGGTCGAATCATGCTAAGTTATACTAGTATAGATCAATTTGGCCCTATCAACACATAATCCAATATCATGCATCATCTACCTGCATACAGGAGGAAGGCTAATTTCTCCATTTTGAAATGGTTTGTATATTGTTATGTGATAGTTAATTTAAATAGGGTTATAAATAATGTGAAAGAACCTAAAAATATAAGTGTTGGACAACTTATATAATGCATCATTCTTTTCTTTGATCTTTAACAAAATGGGGTATCATTATGTCACCAGCTAAAATAACCAAATCTATAAAAACTATATATCTAAACCTAATAAAATAATGTAATTACAAAACAAATTCTTTAATTTATCTTGACAATTGATAAGAATTTATAAATATGTTAAGTATATTTCTAATGCTACAGAATATAGCAATTTTATCACATTAAGTGATTATATGTAAATTATATTAAAAATAATTTATGACATAAATAATAAAACAATTTAATTTTATTATTTAAAAAATTATTTATAAAAAATATAATTATAATATAGAAGTGGCGGGACTAGCCATCACTTAGTCTACACTTGAGAGATATAACTGTAATTTACCCTAACTCCAATAAATAGGTATTATCCACCAAGACGAATATCAAAGAAGCAGCTTTGCCAGGCTTGTGAACAGCTTCGTACCCCATTCATGAAGATGTTCTCCATACTTTCTATTGAACGACTAAACATGAATTAGCATTACCTTAGATTGAGCTCATATTCATCATAACCGCTATCATTAGCCTTATCCCATCACCTTCTTAAACATCCCCACATAAGATAACTTTACCGAAAAGGAATAACAAATAATATTGGATTGATACCGCGTTGTCATGTTCCAGAGAGTTTGAAGACAATAAAAATTTGTGCGTCAATTCAAAATTCTTATTTGTTCTTAAGACTTGTGTTGAAAAATATGAAATAATAAAGCTGCATACTTTGTTATTTCAATTGTTAAAAATGATATAATATTTATGGGAGATGCTTAGCTCATTAAAGGAGAAAAAAATATAAAGGTAATAAATCTAGCTAATTAAAATTAATTCATTATGTACAAATTTATTCTGTATAAGAAAAAAACGATTGGTGAACTGCTTAGGAAAGATGAAATAGTGGCAAATTCCCAAGGTGGCTAATCACATTTATATCCAACAGAAGAGGCGCAGGAGCTACAAATTGTCAAAGTGGTGTTAAAAGTGCAAGAACTACAGATTGCCAAGGTGGTGTTGGGATAGGCTAGTAGGCCAATAGGAGCTGATGAAAGCATGATTAGCTAAATCAAATGCATAATTTGATAAGCCATTTCAAGATTTTTACAATCCTCCTCAAGCTGGGTCTCTATATTGATCATTCCAACTTTGAAAATATGATTATCAAATTGCAATTATTTAAGAACTTTGAGAAGAATGTCAACAGTTTGTTGTTTTATTAGACTAATCTGAAATTCTCCTTGTTCAATTTTCTCTTTTATAAAATGCCTATCAATCTTGACATGCTATCTTATCATGGTGAATAGGATTTTTAGCGATGCTATTATTAGCTTCACATCTCATTATCATTGATCCTTTTGTATTAACATTTAAATCTTCAAGGAGGCCAATAAACCATATAGTTTCACAAATTCCATGGACCATAATCATACATTATGCCTCAATACTGCCCCGAGCAACAACAAATTCTAATTTAAATCTAATAAAAATATCATTTCTAATACTTTCTAACTAAGTCCTTTTAGGTCGACCTCTACTTTTCTTAATATAGGTCAGATCTAATACATCTACTTTTTTATGTGACCAAACCATATAGGCAACTCTCTCTAATTCTATCTACTCCTAGAGCTACTCCAACATTTTTCACGTATATACTTGTTGATGTGAAACAATGTAGCAGTTGTAGGAATTGCATGGAAGTTTATAAAAAAGTTGATAAGCCTTGTAATTACAACTTATTGTTTCACCAGGTTAGATTCTATGAATCCTTAATTATTGCTTTTGCTTTGGCATGCGGTTACAAAGTAGATTAGAATTAAACTTTAAAATAGCATCAAAACAACATTAAACTTATTGTGCAACAAACGAAAATCCACTGGTTAACAATTAGAACATTCACCTTGTGTTTTCCTCACTCACACTCTTGAGGGCTTTTAGTGGAAGAATACTTTCAGCAAAATTAATGATGCCACCATAAAACAGAAGACGTTTACAGTCGCCCAATGAAAATTTATCCAGAGAAGGGGTTGGTGGATGTTGGAGGACTTGCCACTGGCCGGTGGTTTGATTCTTGTCAATGGAGATCGTCAAAGACAATAAGATCCGATCGACGTAATCTTCGACGGTGTGGTCGATCTCAAAGTTGATGTCGAAGAAGGGAGATCTAAGCACATATATTCGACCTTACTTATAGTAGACAAATCCATGATCTTGCTCGAAATCGGCCATATATGGGTAAGGAGGCCGGGGGGAGGTCGTGTGTCTTCTCTCTTAGATGATGTATCAAGCAAGGGAGAAGAAAAGTAAGGGAGGAGGGAGAGCTAGGGGGAGGTCATGATCACCAAATGTTACAATCCCATCACTAAATCCATTACTACATAAATTATATTTCATGTATTCAATTTTAGATCTACTCAAATGAAAATGTTAGACTCTATACTCGACCTCCATAATTCAAATTTTTCTTCAACTCCCTCTCTCTAGTCTTATCAACAAGAATAATATCATCAGCAAAAAGCATACACCAAGGTACCTCATCTTGCAAATTTCTAGTAAGAACATCCATGACTAAAGCAAAAATATATGGCTTTAAGTTGATCCTTGATGTAATCAAATTGAAATAGGAAAAGTTATCGAAATATCTCATCCACCTATATTGAATATCCTCTTCTAAAAAGCATTTTTTGATCTTTATCCTTAATGTATTTCACTCGAACTATAACATTATTTCTCCTATCGCTTTGCTTGACTAGCTTATATATACGTCTTTGGCCCTCCTAAGTATATAATCTATTATTTAAATCATTAAAAGCAAAATTCTTTGCATCGCATATTAATTTCTTAGACTCCCTACGGGCCCCTCTATATATTTTCCGAGCTTTTTACATCTAACCAAATTTTTTAACAAAGCTTCTAATTTTTTATCTTTTCTTACATATTTTGATCACATCACCAACTATTTTTACTATTTCGATCTTCTCTTTTTTATTCTCCAAGCACATACTTTGTAATATTTCCAATATCACTAGCTACTTTTTTTAATATAATATTAGTTTCCTCATGAACAACACAAATCTTAAGAACTAGAATCTTATTCTCAAAAATATTTTTATTAGCATTTTTTAAATGCTCTCATCTAATTCTAGGATAATATTTTACTATATTTTTCATATTTCACCCCTTCATCTTAAAGTTCAAAAGTAATAAGGAATGATGGGTGCATAAACGTTTACTCGTAATAACTTTACAATTTTTGCAATCTAAATGATCTATTTTTCTTATAAGAAAATAATCAATATGAGTCTTATTATGTCCATTTTTCTAGTGATGAAATGGCAAAAGGAGAGCAACTAAACTCTCCAAGAAACAAAAATCATAAAATAGACAACCATATCTAGAGAGAGTAAAAGGAGAGCAGCCAGCAAAGAGTGACAACCATGAAAGGAGACTGAGAAATGAAAGGCCTTATTATAGAGGATATAGCCCAGGCTTCATTATCATCATTAACCTCATCCAAAAACTACTCAGGATTAGCTGAATCCCCAGAAACAGATATCAGACGGTTACAATGGGGCATCCATCATATAATAGTGCTAGAAATTTTCTTAAGGCAAAGTAAATTGTGCATCAAGAAAACACAGAAATACATGCTCAAATCAATGATAGTGTTCAAAGAGTTCAAAGGGGGCATACCTTCATCACTGCCAAATTTGTATCTATACCATCCACTTTAACTCCATCAACGGTGGCCTGGGCTTCTTCCACCATTTTGTAGTTGAGTCTAGATTCCATGACAACTTTTTGCAAGTCGGTCATCTCTCCTACCACTACATCTCCCACAATAAGTTTTTCATCGCTCGACACTTGCGAGACCACCCCTAAATTAGATAAAATTGCCAAAGCAGAAATAGAATACATTCCAGATGCTGATCTCGATCCATTAGTCTGATCCAAACTCTTTGAAATAATCATGTTAGCAAGGGCTTCCAATATTAGATCACCTCCTGGAAGCTGGTCAGCAAGGTTAAACATGAGAAGTGACTCAAAGCGAACAGGGACTGCCGAGAACATTTCCTGGATAGCTTGTAATCGTAGAATTCCAAGTACAGCCTTTGAAAGTGTTTCTTCTTTGTCAACACCCTCCATCTGAATTTTTCTAACAAATCTATGAGCATAAAGAATTTCGCGAATAATAGCTAACCAATAGTCCCGGCGAGAATGTCCCGTTAGCTCAGGGAACTCGATGATAATTGGCTCTAACCTACACACAACATTGGCTCTCATAAGCAAAAGATAAAGTAAACTTTCTCCATCATGCAAAGGGACTTGTACCAAGCCAGTTCCCTCATTAAAAAGACAGTTCAAAAACAAAAGACAAAAAAAAATGATGAATATTACTTACACAGATACAGATCTATACATGACTGCCTTGTCAAAAAGGCGTGAACCCCAAGGCCCAGTCAGCTCAGGCTTAACAATTTGTTTCAAATCAGCAGAAAGGTCATATATCTTTGCTTTGTCGTAAGTTACAACTTTCAATGCCTCAAAGTACAGAGCATGGTCAGTCAATGTTAATCTTCCTGAGATTCAAATACTTCGATGAGACTTCTCAGTTGCAAAAGAAAATTATAGTTTTACGACTATCAGAAAACAGATCAATAAGTTTCCAATCTAATATCTTTAACCGCAGACATTACTTTTAGTAGTCATAGGATAAACAGAAAATATTTCTAGCTAAAATAAGAAAGACATACCGGGCCATGTTGAAATGCCTATATGTTCAAGAACAGGTTGGCTCGTCAATGTTCCATCTACCTCAATAATCTTTTCTCCCCTTTCTGAACGAATAGCATGAATAAGAGATGACTCTGTTTGAGATTTCATTTTTTTTATTACTCTGGATAAAGAAAAAAGACGAGCATTACATATTCATAACAGAACATCCAAAAATTAACATTAAGGTTAAATACAAATAATTATTAAAATTATAATAATTAGGGTGATATACCTTTTGTTTTGTTTTTACCTTAGTAGTGCTAGGCGGTGGCAAACAAGAACCGAAAGCGATAGTAGCAAGAGATTTGAAATAAAACACCCAAAAAAAATAGAATGCATGGTCGCACCACATGGGCAATAAGAGGCAGCACAAATTAGACAATTAGCAGCTACTGGCAGCAAACAACAATAGGAACTTATAGTAGCAAAGTGCGGCGACAAGCATAAGGCTATGAAGAGCGGTGGTGGGCAACAATGGGTGGAAGGAGGTGGAAGCGATGATTCGTAGCGATAGGCAACGACGAGAATGGGCAGTGGTGGCAATGGCAATAGGCGATGACAGGTAATGACAGTGAAGACAAGCAGTGGTGGCGGTGGGATGAAGTCCAGTTGTGGCAACAGTATGACAGGCAACAGTGGCAACAAGATGATAGGCAGCACCAATGAGCCATGCCAGGTGAAGACTAATAGCAGCAGCATGCAGTGATAGGTGGTAGGTGCAACGAGCAGCAATAGGCTGTAGCAATAGAAGATGAGAATCGAGAGCGGCAATAGCAAAAGATTTGAAAATTGTCAGATTTGAGATATTTCTTAATGCAAAGAAACAAGGGTTTTAGGATGTTTCAAATCCCTCAAAATTTTAGATTATATTTCTTTTGATTTAAATACAACATAAAAAAAAGTTAGAATGCATGGACAAGGAATGCAATAGCATCTAATCCTTCAGACCAAACAACTCGCTAATGAATTTTTAACTACACAATACTTAGTACATGCAACAAAACAAGCTTAAATGCAATTTTATAAGATTTACCATTTAAATCTTCAAAAGATCATAGTAAGAAAAAATTGAACACTACTAAGACTAACAATGATTACAAGAAACCTAAAAATATTGAAAATAGTACAATGAGCAAAACTAAACTTTTGATGATCTATTTAAAGTCTTCGTACAATATATATATATATATATATATATCTGTGTGTGTATATATGTATATATAATTTCTTTATTTAAAATAAGGCTATAAATAGGAATTATAAATATTTCGATCAAATTAGGTAAATTAGAAGAGAAGTAAAAATATCTTGGTTAAAGATAAAGACATCCAATAAGGATGCAAAACCACAGGAAGGTAGGCGCAACGAGCAGCAATAGGCAGTAACAATAAAGAATGGCATTGAGCAACAAACGTTGGAAAGCAATGGCAGTACCTCCTAATACTTCCAACCAAACAACCTCTTAACGACTTCTTAATTACACAAGATCCACAAAAGAAAGCTTAGTTTCACTTTTATAAAATTTACCCTTTAAATCTGACAAAGACTGCAGTGAGCAAAAACTAAATACTACTAAGACATATAATGATTATCAAAAAGCTAAAAAATTTGCAAGTAGTCTAGTGCGCAAAGAAAAACATATAATTTTTTATGATCTACTTCATACTTTGGAAAGAGAATAGGATATATATATATATAATAAAACCAAAAAATATGAAGTTTAGATATTTCATTCAAGATAGATAAATTAGATGTGAAGATCTTAATTAAAGATGAAAATAATACTTTAAGAAATCATTAAATGAGAGTAATAAAGTAGAAACTATTTTAAAAGATGATAATGAATTATATTAAAAGCAAAATATATAGATTAATACAAAAAAATTAAAGTGGGGTCAACTCTGAAGAAGATGCATAAACGTCTGACTTTAAATCAAAATAAACTATCTGTTGAAATATAGATAGTTATAAAGGATACTGCCTTGATTTGATAAATAAATTCTTCATGAAATTTTGAAGGCTAAGAGGATGACAAAGAAGTGGAGAAAAAACATGTTGGTACTAATATTAAAGAATAAATGAGATGTTCAAAACTATGATAATTATAAATAAATTAAACTTATGAGTCAGCCAATGAAGGTACGAAGAAAGTAATGAAGTGTAAGCTTAGAAAATTATGCCATTTTTGAAGAACCAATTCCATTTTATGCCAAAAAGATCATCTATGAAAGTGATTTATATGTTAAGATAATTACTATAAAACCATAAGCACAAGAGAAATGACCTTCATATGCTTTTTATCGATTTTTAGTAGGCATCTGATCAAGAACCACAAGAATGAATTTGGCCCACTTTAAGTCACAAAGTGTGAAAAATGTATGTTGACATTATTAAAGATATGTATCGTAAAGCACTGACTAGTATTAGAAATAATACAAAGTCATATAACATTTTCCAATTACAACATAAGAATCAACATTGAGTTCATATTTTTGTATTCATTAAGGATATGCTTACAAAGTTTATTCAACATATGGTTTCTTCGTGTTTGCTTTTTATAGATGATATGGTTCTAATCGATGAGATATCCACTGAAATGAGTGAAAAATTAAGAAAAATGGAGAATAATAATAGAACAAAGATTGAATACATGATGTGTTTGGAAAGTAAATGTATGTTAACCAAATCTAATGGAAAATTTTTTAGTGAACTTTTTAGTTAATTGCCTAAGAGGTATCACATTTATAGAGTTGGTTGATGCTAGAACTTATTCAAAGAATGTCATAAATATGTTTTAATTATTCTTTGAACTGCTGAGTTATCATATATTCATATCAAAGAGATTGGACCATATTGTATCATTCAAGTGGTTACTAATGATAGCTCAAAAAATGTCCTAACAGGTAAGTGACTCACTATATGGTTCAACAAACATTATAGTTATTATGAAAATTGTATATTCCTTTGGAATAGTTTAGTGATTTATTATTAAATACTTTGTAATATTGTTGTAAGAAAGTTGTTAATAAATAAGTATCCACATTCATATTAGACTACATGCATTATTAATAGTTTCATTTATTCATGACCATGATTTTTTTTTTTTTTTTTGAAATATATTCATGACCATGATTTCTTGATGAGAATATGCACTAGTCAAATATCACTCGTAAACATGCTATGACTTGATTTGCCAATACCTTTTTTACCATGAAACATTTTCATCAATAGCAAATGAATTTTAAAATGATGGTCACGTGTGAAAATTTTGTTTCTAAGTCTTATTCAAAGGAACAAAGCCTAAACAAGCGCAATAAACCATCCTGAAATAATCCTTCGGGAGTATTGTAATGTATACACTCAAATCAAGCGGCCATTTATTAAAGGTCATTCATTTCATAGATAAAGAGAAAAAAAACTCTAATGGATTACATATATTAGGTAATGATTATGGAAAAGAAGCAATAACTGCATTTTTTATCAGCAATTAAAAGTATGAACAATAAACAAATATTTGAAATTCTTGATAGAATATGGGAAGTGCAAATCAATTAGATTTTGCGCCCATTTTTTAAATCCTGAATACTTTTTAAGTAACCCCAACATTATAGAATTCAAGAAAGCAAATGATATTTTATATGCATGCACTGAAAGATTGGATAATTATTTTGATGAAGATGATCAAATTTGCAGCAAGTTTCATGTGTACATTAGGGGTGAAGACTTTTTTAGATTTCTTCAGTTGTGAGACAAAAGATTGTTTGAGAATCAGGTAATGTGTTTTTTACATATAAATTATAATTAGTATAGGATAATATTTTAATATTTAAATAATAATGAATTTTAGCTAATTATGGCTAATATATGTCCGAAGAGCTTCACTTTTTACAAATTTTTGTGATCAAAGTACACCTTAAATTTAGTTCATCGAGATGTGAATAAAATTAGATTGTATAAACATTAAGTACAAACATAAATATGTCATTGATTATTAACATGAAACTTTATAATTTGCTAATCTTAATAATTTTTTAATACAACTTCACAAAAAAGGCAAGATTGATCATGGTCAACTCAAAGATTTAGTTTATGTGAAGTATAATATGGCCTTGATTCAAAGATACATCTATCATGATATTATTTTCCATATCTCTTTAAAAGATATAGACAATGCTAATGAAAAATTAATATAAAATTAGATGAATAGCTAAATGAAAATGATGAATTAGTCATTGGTGATGAGTATTTGACAAAGAGTGTTGCTGCAAAAGCTAGTGATGTTTACGAAATAAACTAAAATATTTAAAATCAATTAAATGGAAAAGAGAATGAATCTTCATCTAGAATTAACACTCTTGCAAATAAACATAAAGATGATGAGGTTGATAAAGAATATTATGATTTAGGATAAAATGATGATGTTGATAAAGGAAACAAGACTATTTTAACTTATGATTATGAGGAAGATAATACTCAAGAAGATTAGTTTTATTTTATTTTATTTTTTTAATATTGCACGTGCAAAAAATTATAATGTTTTGAATTTTGGCTAGTTAAGCACTTGATCATAAGCATCAGCTTTTAATATTATATTTAGTTTGTTCCATTAATATGATAGTTAATTTTTCAATATAATTATCTTTCATAATTATTCAAATATATTTAGTTGCATCTTTATCCCTTTTTTTTTTTTGCGATATGTTTAATAGCATGCAATATAGCTTCATGAGACCTTTGCGATATGGCGCAAACTATTCGTAATTGAAAATTATGAAGCACTAGAAATATAGAGGCTAAAAGGGAAAAGGGAAGTTGGAAAAATCACCAAATGGCATTTGAAATATGCAAGGAGTATCTATACATCTGAAGGGCTAACTGCAGAAGGAATTTGAGCAATAGATACAATACAAGAGAATAAACACAACCATGTTATAAGCATGTGCATTCATAAGAGGATGTTATATGGTACAACTTTGTCCATCTATACAAAAAAAATCAGCCATGTCTACAAGACAAGCATAAAATGTAGGAGATAAGCAAGATATAAAAACGATAAAATGCAGCAGGTTATAGACATCTTGGTGTTGTCACATGCATAAGAAAGGCATAAAAAGGGGGAAATGGGGACGAGTGTCAGTTTCTATAGCACAACTTGAGAATGCAGATAAGTCGCACAACAACAAGAAAATAAGAAATGATGTACTATAAAAATAAGAGCAGAAGCCTTGGTAAGAAATCTCCTAGAGAAACAGTTCGTATAAGGAGATCAGCTTCAAGAAAGGGCGTGCCAAAGGGGAGAATAAACCAGCAGCCAAGAATATCAAACAAAAATCTGCTTGCTATGTAAATGAATCAACAAAAGAACTACATAGAATACAAAAGACAGCACTATTAAATCTTAATAAGAACCAAGTGGGTAGGATTACTGTCATCCACAAATTGATAACTGGGAAACAATTAAACATGAATAAATAAAAAAATGTGATGCTTTAGCTAACATTCATTAAAAAGGGAAATTGAACAGCAATTTATTAATTGTTAACCTGTCCAATCCAACAAGGTACTTCTCATAGACAACAAATGAAAGTCGGCCACTGTTCGGATTCGCAAGGACATCAAAGATATTGGAACATGTAATTACATCTGCAATAATGGGGATTGCAGGAGCAATGCGCAAAAAAGCATCTAAACCAACAGTGTTGTCCTTATCCACCTGTCACAATTTGCAAAAGTATTAGACAAGACAAATTACCGTAGCATAGCAATAAGAATGAGCATCCATTCAGAATAACTAATTATACTGACTAGGGTTTTGATGGAAATTCGAAAATAGCTTTAATGGATGATGAATATGATGAACATGGGGTCCAGTTTAAATCTTAAACAATACTGAATTGAAACATGTTTCTTGCCCTGGGTGAGGGTGGGCTCGCCGCAGATGGAGCTTCCCATGCTAACATCATATCAAATGTAAGGCGTCGGAACTTTGGATCAGCAGGATGGCCAATGATTTGAGTCATTAGACCTAATGCTCTGAAACAACAGTACTCTAAGAAATTTCTGGCATAATTTGAGGACTTCTTTAAACCATCAGATGCTTCTGAATCAAAATTTCCTTGAAGTTCATCCATAGAAACATCAAGAATTCTGCAGTAAGAGTTACGCATCAATATTATTCTCATGCACATTTAAGAAGTTCACAACTCTATGATGCATTCAACAAATTATAAAAAATGTACGTGGGAATTGTGATGAACAATGAAAAAGTCATACCTAACTTGAATTAAAAGCGCAAAGGATAATAAAGTACACTGCTAATTTCAACTAGACTAATTGCCTAATGAAACTCACTTAGCTAATCCAATTTAATCAAGTTGTGACATGCCCATAATACATTCAAGATCCTACAAGTTTATTCAAACATATTAGCTTATCCAGAATGGCCAAAAACCTAAGTGACGTACAAATCATTGCCAAATATAAACAGTGACCAGTAACTGGCCATCAAATTCAAAAAATAACTCAACTTTCATTATGAAGCATAAGCTTTTGATGAAACACACAAAATCAACATCACGGTTTGCGCACAATAAGACTATCAATCATGTACATGAAATGCTTAAACCTTCACATGGCTTTTTACATGGATTCCTTAAAACTGTGTAGGTAAAACCAAAGACATCTGGATCAAAAACTAAAACTAAATTGAGGGTATAAAACAAAAATAAAAAATCTCGATCCAACAACAATACGACTGCAAGAAGAGCCAGAGAGGAACTCACTGCGAACAACGGCCAACGATTACGTTTGCCATCTGAGAGAGCTCCGGAATCCACTTCCTTTTGCCGGAAGGGGATCGGCCCATCTCCTCATACTCTTCATCGAAAGATGTTCGGCGGCTGAGCGCCCATTTGAAGGAACCCTCCATGAACCCCTCCAGAAGGTTGCGGGTTTTATCCATCATAGCCATGTCTCCCCTCCAAAACTCGAAACCTCTCCCTTCGATGCTCGATCAGAGCTAAACCCTAAATCCTCCGGTTTGCGAATTTCATCCCGCAATCACAAGCTTAACTCGTCGGGGAAAACCTTATTCTCTCCTTCTGCAGCTTCTCTTAGAAGAAACTACTATAGTACTATGGACTCTCTGGAAACTAATTGAGCGTGCGGAGATAAAAACCTGGGAGGCGCGCGGTAAAAAGACAGGTCGTTTGCACTCTGGCTCTTCTTGCAGTCGTATTGTTGTTGGATCGAGATGTTTTTATTTTTGTTTTATACCCTCAATTTAGTTTTTGGTTTAGTTTCTGATCCAGATTTCTTTGGTGTTAACTACAAAGTTTTAAGGAATCCATGTAAAAAGCCACGAGAAGGTTTAAGCAGTTCATGTACATGATTGATTGTCTTATTGTACGCAAACTGTGATGTGATTCTGTGTGTTTCATCAAAAGCTTATGCTTCATAATGAAAGTTGAGTTATTTTTTGAATTTGATGGTCAGTTACTGGTTATTGTTTATATTCGGCAATGATTTGTATGTCACATAGGTTTTTGGCCATTCTGGATAAGCTAATATGTTTGAATAAACTTGTAGGATATTGTATGTATTATGGGCATGTCACAACTTGATTAAATTGGATTAGCTAAGTGAGTTTCATTAGGCAATTAGTCTAGTATTACCCTTTGCGCTGTTAATTCAAGTTAAGTATGGATTGATTGTCTTATTGTGCGCAAACCGTGATGTTGATTTTGTGTGTTTCATCAAAAGCTTATGCTTCATAATGAAAGTTGAGTTATTTTTTGAATTTGATAGTCAGTTACTGGTTATTGTTTATATTCGGCAATGATTTGTATGTCACATAGGTTTTTGGCCATTCTGGATAAGCTAATATGTTTGAATAAACTTGTAGGATATTGTATGTATTATGGGCATGTCACAACTTGATTAAATTGGATTAGCTAAGTGAGTTTCATTAGGCAATTAGTCTAGTATTACCCTTTGCGCTGTTAATTCAAGTTAAGTATGACTTTTCCCATTGTTCATCACAACTCCCACTTACATTGTGTGTAACTTATTAAATGCATCATAGAGAATGATATTGATGCTCAACTCTTACAGCAGAATTCTTGATGTTTCTATGGATGAACTTCAAGAAAATTTTGATTCGGAAGCATCTGATGGTTTAAAGAAGTCCCCAAATTATGCCAGAAATTTCTTAGAGTATTGTTGTTTTAGGGCATTAGCTCTAATGACTCAAATCATTGGCCATCTTGCTGATCCAAAGTTCTGATGCCTTACATTTGATATGATGTTAGCATGGGAAGCTCCATTTGCGGCGAGCCGGCCCTCACCCAGGGCAAGAAACATGTTTCAATTCACTATTGTTTAGGATTTAAATTGGACCCCATGTTCATCATATTCATCATCCATTAAAGCTATTTTCGAATTTCCATCAAAACCCTTGTCAGTATAATTAGTTATTCTGAATGGATGCACATTCTTATTGCTATGCTACGGTAATTTGTCTTGTCTAATGCTTTTGCAAATTGTGACAGGTGGATAAGGACAGCACTGTTGGTTTAGATGCTTTTTTGCGCATTGCTCCTGCAATCCCCATTATTGCATATGTAATTACATGTTCCAATATCTTTGATGTCCTTGCGAATCCGAACAGTGGCCGACTTTCATTTTCTGTCTATGAGAAGTACCTTTTTGGATTGGATAGGTTAACAATTGATAAATTGTCGTTGAATTTCTCTTTTTAATGAATGTTAGCTAAAGCATCACGTTTTTTTTTTTTAATTGTATGTTTTCCAGTTATCAATTTGTGGATGACATTAATCCTACCCACTTGGTTCTTATTAAGATTTAATAGTGATGGTGATGTAGAACGGGTATGGGGGTGGGGGAGATTTGAAAATTTTAATTAATTAATTCCCATAATGGGATATCCAATTAGAGAATTAATTAATGGAGGGGAATTAATTGGAGAGGGAACATGGAAAGGGGAGAGGCCGGCCATAAGTGGAGGCCATTAATTGGGATTTGATTTAAAGACTTTCCTAAAATAGATCAATCCCTTTTAGGAATTTATTCAAAATTCAAATTTGAATTGAATAAGTAATATCAAAGCTTCCCAAATGAGGCTGTATGGAAGAGGAAAGTAGGCTTCAATCAAGAGCATGAGGGGGGGAAAGGGCGGCGGGTAGGAAGGCGGGCCGGCGGTTATAATGAGAGTTTGGAGTTAATTTGGGAGGAATTAAACACTTCCAAATAAGATAACTCCTCATAAGGCAAAAGGCTTCAATCAAATTTAATTTAAATTTGATTAGGATTTGATTAGGAGGTCAATTAGGAAACTTTTCATAAATAGATTTAATAATTTAGGAAAGATTTTAAATTTCAAATTAGGTGGATTTGAATTCAAAATTTGACCTAATTATGTTAATCTAGAATAGGTAATGGAATTCAAGAGGGGAAAGGGGGCTAGGGAGAGGAAGAGTGACTTTGAATTCATTCCAAAAAGAGCCACTTGGATTTGGAAACAAATCCCAATGGGATCTAATGAGGTCGGCGACAATAGGGAAAGGAGGTGTGGTTTAAAGAGGCAATCAAAGCTTTCTTAAATTAATAAATTAACTTCGGGATGAGATATTTCATCCCAAGTTAATTTAAAATTCAAAAGGCTGTGATTTGGAAAGTTTCCAAAATTAGGATCTCTAATTTAGGTAGTAATTTCAAATTCAAATAGATTTGAATTTGCTCTTAATTTTATTACCTATATTATGAAAGCTAATTTAGGAAAGGTTTAATTACAAGGGGGTTGGGAGGGAAACCAAAGAAGGGGTCGGCGGTATAGTGGCTTGGCCGTGAGTGGTGGTGGAGCTAAGGCCGGTTTGGTGGAAGTAGGAAGAGGATGAAGATGGCGACTATGAACAACAAAAAGGAACAAAAATAAAGAAACAAAAGATAAAAGATAAAACCGTGAGCCTTGGACTTTTCCGAAGACTGACAGGTGATACATTACCCTTCTCCAAGGGACTTCAAGCCACGAGCCCAGACCCATTATGTGGTTGGTGAAAACTCTAATTCCTTCCCATAGGAATCTCACTATCATCTTCCCAAAAGAACTCAAGTGCAGAACACAAAATTTTATTATAATTTCATCATAGCTAATACAAGATAAGGGGCCTCTATATATAGGCCTCAAAAGAAATTAAAAGACACATTTGCACATTGGGCTTACATAAGACAAGACTCTTAAATAAAAGAGCAAAAATGGGAAAATTACAAAATTAAATAAAAATACAATTAAATAACTAAAATAAAACGGAGTAATCTCGACCGTCGATCTTCAACTCTTCCTGTTAATATCATCCATCGTCGGATGTCCGCATCAGATGGCTTTTGTATTCTATGTAGTTCTCTTGTTGATTCATTTACATAACAAGCAGATTTTTGTTTGTTATTCTTGGTTGTTGGTTCATTCACCCCTCTAGCATGCCCTTTCTTGAAGCTGATCTCCTTACATGGACCTTTTCTCTAGGAGATTTCTTAGCAAGTCTTATGGTCTTATTTTTATAGTACATCATTTATTATTTTCTTATTATTGTGCGACTTATCTACATTTTCAAGTTGTGCTATAGAAACTGACACTCGTCCCCATTTCCGCCTCTTTATGCCTTTGTTATGCATGTGATAGCACTAAGATGTCTATAAATTGCTGCATTTTACCGTTTTTATATCTTGCTTATCTCCTACATTTTATGCTTGTCTTGCAAACATGGTTGATTTTTTTTTTTTTGTACAGATGAAACAAGTTGTACCATGTGACATCCTCTTATGAATGCACATGCTTATAATATGGTTGTCTTTATTCTCTTGTATTGTATCTATCGCTCAAATTCCTTCTGCAGTTAGCTCTTCAGATGTATAGATACTCGCATATTTCAAATGTCATTTGGTGATTTTTCCAATTACTTCCCTTTTCTCTTTTAGCCTCTATATTGTTTGTGCTTCATAATTTTCAATTACGAATAGTTTGCGCCATATCGCAAAGGTCTCGTGAAAGTATAGTGCATGCCATTAAACATATCGCAAAAAAAAAAGGATAAAGATGCAACTAAATATATTTGAATAATTATGAAATATAATTATATTAAAAAAAGTAACTATCATATTAATGAAACAAACTAAATTTATAAATAAAATATCATTCTTATAATATTAAAAGTTGATGCGTATGCTCAAGTGCTTAACTAGTCAAAATTCAAACCATTATAATTTTTTTGCAAGTGCAATATTAAAAAAAAAAAAACTAATCTTCTTGAGTATTATCTTCATCATAATCATAAGTTAAAATAAAATAGTCTTGTTTCCTTTATCAACATCATCATTTTCTCCTAAATCATAGTATTCTTTATCAACCTCATCACATGTATGTTTATTTGCGAGAGTGTTAATTCTAGATGAAGATTCATTCTCTTTTCCATTTAATTGATTTTAAATATTTTAGTTTATTTCGTAAACATCACTAGCTTTTGCGGCAGCACTCTTTGTCAAATATTCATAACCAATGACTAATTCATCATTTTCATCTAGCTCTTCATCGAATTTTATATTAATTATCGGTGGCATACCGGCCAACTCAAACGCCAGTAAATTCCGGTGCACTACAGGAAAAACGCTGAAAACTGGCGGCTTTTTCTGGCGGTTAGTGTAGATTTACCGGCGGTTTTTAATGGTACCGGCGGTCTAACGGCGGTTTGTAAACCGCCGGAAAAAATGGCGTAGGAAACCATTTCCGACGGCGTGTTACCGGCGGTTTATTTTTGCGGCGGTTTTCCGGCGGCCAATACCGCCGGTGACCACCGGAATTTTAACCGTCGGTTTGCCGGCGGTTAGGCCGCAAAATAAACCAAAAAGTTTATCAAATAAATAACAATACTAATCATCCTCCATGCCCTCGCTGCCTTTTTATTCATGTGTCGGCTCTTACTCTTTCTTCTTCTAATTTTCATCTTTATATGATCGCAACTCCGTCTGCATCTCTTTTGGAATTTTCTCATATCCTCTATCTCTTTTATCAGCGCAGCAACCCTCTATCTAATAGTTTCTTCAGCTTCACTATCATCATAAAATATTGACGTATATGAACTACCCTCATAAGCACATCCCTGCGAACCTAAGACATAAACCCTCCACTCTATCTTCCTCTAACAATATCTGACTATGCCAGATACT